CTGAGTGGGGGGGGGGNTTTTGCTTGCCCTACCAGCTTTTCTTCCTTCTGTGATTTCTTCTTTTCTTTTACCCAAAATAGGGGGGGGGGCAGGCCCCCTGGGTCCCTCTCCTGGATCTGCCACTGCTTGCTTATGATCCAGTGAAGAACTAAAAAATTGGTCGAGTCGGGAGCAGAACCAATGACAATGCTAGTCAGTCTCAAGCTTTGTGATTGGTCTATTCTTTAGCTTCTGCTGTGTCTTTGACAATCTAGTTTTCATTAGATCATATGGGATGTAGTCATAAGCAGAATCAGTAGTTTGATTCTGACATCGATTTGACTACAACCACATGTAGATCATATCGCTCCATGCCTCTAATTACGACTCCAACTCTGTTGTTAGTGAGAAACAGCCATAAGGCCATAATTATGCACACTTGATATCCCCTTATTTGTACACGACAACAGACAAGTGCAAATATGATATTTCATAAAGGCATTGATGGCAAAATTTCACCTTGCACATGGTCTGCAGTGCAATGCAGGCGTGCTTAGTACAATCATGGTCAAGACATTGCACTCAAGTACCAGGTAATTAGTCCCAATAGTGTACATACAGGTTTTGTGAATGCCCAGATATTACAACCAAAAAACTTTAAAAGATCATTTAAAGGGCTGTAAATATTTGAAAATGTTGGGAATTTGAATTTTGCTGGTAGCATATTGCAACTCTGAATGACTCACAGTGCTCCTACATGTACAACAGCTGTCATGTAAGGTAAAGGTAAAGGTAAAGTCTGCATACAAGCCAGTGGCCTATCAGGCCAGTGCTTGTCTCTGATATCTGTAGCTTGAAGAAAGTAGGAGTATTTCTACTAGTCCATCACAGGATTACTCACAGCATTAAATTCGCTGGTACCCATTTATACACCTGCATGGAGACAGGCACTGTACGTGAGAGTAAAGTGTCTTGCCCATTAACACAACACTATGTCCGCAGCCAGGGCTTGAACCTGGACTGCTTGATCCGGAGGCGAGCACACCAACCATGAGGCCATTGTGCATCCACAGCGGCTGTCATACTAAGTCAGTTTTGCAATGATTGGTGCAATTTCCTGCAATTTCCATTTTATAGGTCTTACTAATTTCCTACAACAACAATTTTCCAGCATATTACTGTACCACTATATCCTCACTATAATTCCATTATTACCATATACACAAACTCATAAGCACTTTAGGAGAACAAATCTTTGCTCCTTTCACTTGCGCTGATCTTAGCTCTTACTTTTATACATCTGTGCACATAAACAGTTGATATCTACCAAAATTTAACCTGAATGTTAACAGATGCGACATCTTTTTTTGCATGGATCTCCTATTTAAAGGACTTAAAAAAATGGAAAATTCTCTAGAGCTACATGTACTTGCCAGATGCATATTTTTTTTGTTTTTTACTTTTAGCTGAAAACTTTTGCTCTTCAGTGGGAAATGGGCGAGTGTTCAGGGTTTTCATTACATTTTGAGTCACCCATAGTCTTGCTCTCCATGCCCATAGCAAGCTTGTTACTTTGTGAGTGAATTCTATCAACAACAGGTAATTTCACCCATAGCATCAAGGGAAAATCAAGCATACCCAGCCAGTGTCGAAAAAAGTGCGGGGCAAGTAGATTTTCTTGCTGGGCAAGTCACTTTTCATTGTCACTTGTCTGATGGGCAAGGGCCCAGACAAGTTCTCTGTCAACTAAATGAAAAAAAAGTCAACTAAGACTTGCCCATGGCAAGCAAAATTTGAGAGCTGCTTGTCTGAAGGGCAAGCTAGAATTCAAATTTTTTTGAGCCCTGCTCAGCTGTAGCAGGTGTTACAGGTTACAGCCCTTAATGTCAGCCCTGACTGCTAGTGTGAAGCCCTGTTAAAGTAATCTCTGTAAGGCTATCTAATGACATTGATTTGTTCTCATTGAATTTCAAAATTGTACATATTCACAAACATTAGTTAATTGACACACACTTTTCATGACTACAGGATGTCTAGACCTTTTGTACCCATATTCAAGTATGCTGGTAAACACCCTGACCCAAAAATGGATCAGTCAAGTGAAATATTTTGAGTTTAAATGTAAATGTATTTTGCATACTAATTTCACACCCACTCTGACTTGTACACTATCCATTTGATGTTGTGCTTTATTGTTATATTAGCAAATCAATTACTTTAACTTTTGTGGTAACTTTTCATTTACTTCAACTAGCCTCTACGATATCAAAAGCACACATGCAAACTTCTGTCATCCCTAGCAAGGTTTGGATGACTGTTGTTTTACTCAGTTAAAACACTGAACCATCTAATTTACAAAAGATCTGTGTCTTGCATTTGACTTTATATTAATATCTATCTTAACCTATTAAATTATAATCATTTTTGTACCTGATAATGTTACGACAAGTCTATATATTTGTTCAGTTGGAGAACAAATCCTTTTTTTTGCAAAATTTAAGAGGGTTTCCACTGAACATTTGAGCAATAAAGGCAAAATTAAAGTAGCCACAAAAAACTCAAGCCTGGTGACGATTTGAATACAGTTATTTTAAGGAGACTTTAGCTCTGAGTCTAATGCTGCGAGAGAAAGATGAATTTCAAGTTATCCATATTTTAATTGAAAAGAATGTTTCACATCAGTTGAAACAAAAAAAGCACATGCTTTAAGCATTTTTACGAAGTTTGACGTAAACTTTCTTGGGAATGTTTCAGAGTCTAGTCACTGGGTTATGTGGTGAAATGAATTAAAGCCAGATGTTTGGAATAGTATTCAAAATGTTACCTTGCGATAAGTAGATTTTTAGTACATAAGTTTTGAACTTATTGCTCAGACTTTGAGCGGGATCCATCTTAATCTTCTTCCTAGGGTCCTAGATTTGACCTTAAAGAATGGACTAACCATAAAAAGCTTCTTCTTTACAACAGACTTATTTTGGTCACCATATGTCATCATTCCAGAAGTTTTGTTAAGCAGCAGCACAAATGGCAGCAGTTATAAATGTTGTTGCATCATTTAAGTGTATCATGTTCCTTAGCAACAATATTGTAAGGGCCATGTTTCCACTTGATGTTTATATACTTGTCCTAACTGAATAAAACTACTTTATTTTTGAAACTGAAGAGTGACCCACAAGTACAGCTGAAATCCCTTTTAGCTACATTCCTATTCACAAGATCATGCTCAATGTATTTAAATGGAAAAAAAGGGGAAAAAGAATTTTTGTCACACTTATAGGCCACTACATCAACAGCATATATTACATTTTATTCTACATGTAGACCGAGGTGATGGTTTATTCTCTTAAACTAAAAATAGCAGGGATCAGATCTCAGATCTCAGTTACGGTAGCTTCTAAACATTGGATAAATATATATGAAAAACTGTCTGCGTTCACAGCCTAGATATATCTAGCAAATTGTCCTGCAATTTGTCTTTTGCCTATTGGTCAACATTTATAAATAAACTCATCATGAATCTAGTACAATAAGTTATATATTTAATTATTTTAAACTTGAACCTGGAGCCAGTAACATCATAGCAAAACTATTAAATATACCCAATTACTTGGAAATCAATCTCTAATTAAAAGAGGTGGTAAGAAGCTCTCCAATAGAAATAATAGGTTGTAAGATGAGTGGCCTAAATGTAAGCATAAGTATAATGCATTTAGAATCATAGCAGAACATATAATGTGCCTAAATATTACACAGGTCTTAAATGAACCTCCAGATATCCTTGAAATTGCATACTAAAATGAAACAAAATGGTTGCCTGTTGTTTCTCTGCAAACTTTGGGAATGTGCACATACTGTATTTTAGTTAGTTACTATGTGGAAAAATCTGGTCTATGTTGGTTAACAATGTACAAGTATTTATATTAGTTGGTGTTGTCAAGTGAGAGAAACATGTACTAAATATGATGCTAAATAACTTGTTATTTAGGGGTTCAATAGGATCTTTAGAGGGCATCAGGATATCACATCTAGGCAGAAAATCTAATACAAGAGAAATAGTGCATACTCTAACAAGCAGAATTGTTACAGCCCTTGACCACTTATTTCCTATCAATGTAAACATTATTAGAGAATATGGCTGGGAACTCAAAATAACTGACTGAGGACAGCTTAAGAGGTCTAGTGAAGGGGTAAAAAATTGTTTCCTAGGCAAGCAAATTTAACATTTTAACAAAAACAAATTGCATTAATTCATTTTAAAGGAACTGTCCAAGACAGATGAAAAGTTGATTATTAACCTTAATTACAAAATGAAGCTACAGAACTACACTTTTACGGTGATTTGCAACTTGAGTTTGAGCACCCTTTCTTTAATATAAATTACCACAGCTAACTCACTGATGCTTTTCAAGATCTTGTATTACTTAATACGAATAATAAGTCTTGTCATTGAACTAAATAAGACCCTATTATGTCCCTAACAGCTACCATGGCAACATAAGTGCAGACTGGCACCTTGCATTGACTTGTTTCTCTGTTGGGTTAGCACTTGTAAGCACTTTGAGTTGCTTATAATGTACCAATGCTGATTAAACAAGCGTCAAGGACTATAGCTGAAGGTTATCCGCATTAATGAATATATTTTTAGTTTTATTGAGAGAAAGTGGACCCATGTTACAGTGATCATTGTCATGGTAACTGTTAACAATGCTCTGGGGTCTCATCCTGAGAAACACTGTTGACAATAAAATTGAGTCATCCATCATCACTGATTCCCTTGCCTTACACAACTATAACAATCTTGTCAGCATCACAAGAGCTGCTGTGATAGTACTAACAAAGGCAGTCTGAATTATGTAATAGTCATCTTACAACACAGACATATACATGAAGTCATGATTGATCATCGCAGTTACGTACACAACAATAGCTGCTTAAGTTGTGTACATAACTGTGATGATCAATCATGTCTTCATATCTTTATCTGCAGTTCAAATATATAATATTTCATATTTTCACTTGTATAGATGTGTACAGGTGAAAATTTCTTCTTTTTTTTTTTAATTCAACTTGAATAATGGTCAAAATTTAAATCAACCAAGTAACAAAAGGGTGTACCCAAACTGCCCTTTGCCTCTATGAAATAACGAAAAGGTATGTGGAAGCAACATGTATTGGGGATGGTGACATGGATTCATTTTGTTTGTTTTTTGCAGCATGGTTTTACTTTTTTGCTCTTCCATTCTCTTGGATATTATTGTATATGTCATCTTCATCATCTCGAAGTTTTGTGCAATTCCAAATTCTCATGCTTGCATCATGAGAGCCAGTGTAAAGCTTCCCTTGTGTGACCTTTTAAACAAAATTGACCAAAATTAGTAAATTTAATCTTTTTCCTTCCAGAATCACTCTTTTCTTAATCACTTTCCTTCCAACTCCTCCAGGAGATGGTGATATTTAGCCTGTATCCAGAGGATCCCTGGATACTTCTAGGAATTTGGTGTGAATGGCTGAGTAAAGTGCCTTACCTGAGGAAATGACACAGTAACACCCACAACCACAAAACAAGATCTTGGTACCTTTTAGGAGTTTTTTCAAAATTTCAGCCAAGCACCCCTGTCCTTTTTTTATGGGGTTTTCCCCCGTGACAGTAACACCAGGCAAATTTCATCCCAGACCATTCAATTCTGAGTCTACCATAGTATTAGGCACTTGTGCCTTCAACAGTAACAGCCTGCTATGAAGGGAAGTTACTGAAATGTTGTCACTGATTTTCCTGAATTAAATTAGCCATTTTAATATTTTTCATTTTCAGGATGATATTCAGTGGTCACATGAGCTATGCAATCCTGAAGAATGCTAACACTTGACAAAAAAGTGCAGCCAGGTATGCAAGTTTTGAAAAAAAACTGCTGCATGTCACCCAAGACTGTAGTATATGTGCATAGGATTGCTAAGAATGTTTATTTAGAACAATACTTATGCAGGACAATGCACTTAAATTTCAGGCAAATGCCCCACATTCTTAATTCACTTGACAAAAATAATGTTACTATCACACTTAATTGTTTGTCAAACTTACAGTAAAACAGTTAACTGGACCACAATGGCCAGTGAATGTCCTCTTACACGTGCCAGATTTTGACTCGAACACTTTTACAGTGCTGTCCCCAGAACAGGTAAACACTAGAAAATGAAAAAAAAAAAAAAGAATATGGTGGGACCTAGTTAATATGGGCTGCAAACTGATGTGCAAAAGTGTCTGTATTCCCCGAATGTCTGTTGTAAGCACTTAGCAGTTTCTTTCACCAATGCATGTTTTGTCCAAGTAAACAAAGACTAAAGCATACAATTTATAAGTAGTAGAATGATATTTAATACCTCAGCTTTAACTTAAAATCAAACTAAACTTGTGTTCATTAAACAGTAAAATGTCTTCCACTGAAATTAATGTACTCTTGTAGGTTTCAAAAGTACCATGTAATCATTTACACAGGTCCATGACTTTAATAAAATCACAATAAGATTTCATTTTTCCAACGGGATGCAATAATTACAAATTGGTCATGAAAAATGGCATTAAGCCTTATGCAGATAAATGTAATCATTGTCCATGAAGTGAGGTCAACTTGGTATGAAAATGTGTTACTTGGGTGACCAAAAATTGTCTGTCATTGGTAAAAATATTAAGTGGCTAAATTAAGGATGGTGCCTACGAAATACAAAGGTTCAGCTAAACTACAGTCTAAACACCTTTTGCTCACAACCAGAAACTAATCACGTGTTGAATAGGCTTACCACTTCCATTTCATAACATAAAATGTAGGGGTAATCATGTGTTTTTTAAAGTTATTGATCTTTTTGGAAAACTTTTCTGGTGCCCAGTAAGTAAAACACTTGCGTATCTCGCACTTGTTTTGTGTGTGCACTACGCCATCTGCAGGTACATGTTTACAGTTGGACTTCAGCACAATTTTTGGCAGATAACAGCTAGTTTTTCAACTGGAAGACGTTCACAGTTAGTGGTTAGCGATATGCTGCTATTCTGGTGTTCCTGGTTTAAGTACAGTTACATTAAACTTGATTTGGTCACAGTAGGAAAATTTTGCTTTCATTTTAGTTGTGAACTTGGTAGCGTAGCTGATTGTGCCAATGTCAACCCCAGCGTGTGCCTGGCGCTTAAACCATGCCTTGTGTGATGCGCAGAACGTGTGCATACTAACAAAAGTAGGCACCATCCTTAAGTGCATTGGACCAAGACTTTTAGCGTGTTGCATTTTTCTAAATACATTTATTGGACTCTCTCACTAAAAGTTTATTTGATGAAAACTTACAAAGGCCTTCCTGGAAGAATAGACTATGTATTGTGTGCTTGTGTCCCTTGTATGTACGTGTGCAGTCACCAAATTCAACCACCCAGCATTTTGCAGTATGGTCAGCACTGCATGAGTACATCAGTTTGTTAACAACCTAAGGATTTAAAAGTAAGATACATTTTAGCAGGGTTTTCTACAGTACAGTACTGGCTTAAAGTATTTACCCATTTGCTGTGGTTTTGCCTTGGCTGATTTGCAGATTCATACATGTACCACACTCTTGCCTTGGCAATGACGTGGCATGCTCAAAAATTTTTACCTAGGTTTTTTTGCAGCAAGTGATGCCGCAGTAAATGGTAGGATGCGGTATAGTTTGACTGGGCTATTGTTCCTTTTGTTTTCATGTTCACTGACTTCAATAGAAAAAACTTTCTGCGATTATCACACCTAAGTTGGTGTGAAAATTTGCCGGCTTGACGTATGGTTGTAATATTATTCCTGCAAGACAGAATCCGCTAGCTTGACTGTTAAATCCTCTAGCTGCGGGCTACTGGACACATATTCAAGCTCTTTAAATACAAGGATTCTCGCTGCATTCAACAACAATAGTTTATTAAATTGCGGCATTCCTGACAACAGCAGGTCTGCATTTCTGGTACAACTTTACTGCACAACTTATCAGAACATGTTTCCTTGTACATAACATGGCTGTTTCCTCGCTCAGACAAATCAGTTTAGATTTTTCCTTTCACAGTAATTTTGTGTGGAAATTAAATATCTTACTAAATTACTAAATTGACTCATTTGTAGATCACCTTTTTCACATTAAGTAATATCTACAGGAGGCTACTTGTTTATTCAGACTCACAAGGTACAAGAAGTGCCACATACATATAATATAAGAATGATTACTAGTGTAGAAGTTTAACTTTTTGATAGCCCTTATATTCAAAATGGCCAAACCAAAACTTTTTTAACCAGAATCTTGCAGACTATGGAACAAGCAAATTAAACTGACTTGTATGACTAACATATTTGACAATTTTTGTCGCAAGATTTTTTCTAGGCTGTGTTGCAGATGGAAATTTTCCCGTAAATAACCAGTGGTGTGTTGTTAACAACTATGTAACTAGCTGGATTTTTTCTAGTTGCAGTTTTCTATTTCTGTAGGGCTGTATAAGGAACATCTTTATTGCTTTTGTGTTTCTTGTTATCTAAATAAAAGATTGGGTTCTATCAGTGGAGAAGGAATTAATTTCAAATCTTTAAGAGAACCCAAGATGCAATGTATATAAAATTATTAGGTAAAATTTGGTTTTGAGGAGGAGTGAATAAGTAATTGAAAGACTGAAAAAATACCATCACACCCAGCTGATTTTAACTGTAATCTTTTATTACTACTTGGGTATCTTGTGGAAAGTTAGTGGAAGCAGCATGGCCGAGTGGTTTAGGACACTGGTGTTGTAATCCGCAGATCCCGGGTTCAAGGCCCCCACCCTGCCACTAGCGGCATTTGTTTCTCGATAGTCCCGAGTTCAAATCCTCAGTCAGGCTTTGTAAATAGCCAACTGGTCTGCCTCCTGCCTGTTGGGATTTTTAACTATGTTACATTTATTAATTTTGAAACATTTGTTTTCTTTGTTTAAATGGCATGCCTGTAAACTAGCTAAGCTTAGTGCTTGTGTAGCTAAGTGTATGACCACTATAAATAAGATTTACATTTACATTTTACATCTTGAATTTGTTCTATAAATAAACAGTGATGGAACAGGGGTTTCCTTAACATTTTCAGTAGGAGGGTAACTGGCATGGTTTTCACAGGCAGGAAAAACTTTCTGACAACAACAACAACAACATCTTAGTTTACTTTTCTCATTATAAATAGGAATACTATAACACTTTTAGTTTATTTAATATAGGCAGTATGTTTCAGACGAACTGAACTTCGTTATGAGGACGGACAAACCAGGTGGGCAAAATCATCCTTGCAGCCGGTCAATTTGCCCAGTGCCCTGCCCTTAATGAAACCCTGCTGGAATCAGGGGCTAAAGAAAAAACTGACAAAAACAGAAAAGCAGGCACTCTGCCGCCAAATATTATCCAAGATAACAATTAGAACACAGCTCCACTGTACTTGAACTGAGGAGAGAAAATCCGCTACTTGGACTCTGTTGCTTATATGTTCTCACTTTTAGGCAGTGAATTTATCCAGGGTTAATAGATACATCACCAGAAACCGAACTCTTGTGTTACAAGAACAAGAAACTCACATTTAGATCAATGTATTTAATTGCTCTTTGCTACCTGATTTAACTAACCATTTTTCAACACGAAACATAGTGTAGGGCTGCAGCTCTGAATGACTACAAACTTGCAAAGTGGTTTTAGGAGTGTATGAACCTTTCAAAACTCCACAAGCAAAAAATTTCCGAGTAAATATTTTTCCAATACGTAAGAGTGGGAACCAAGAGTAAATTTTGTTATATTGTCAGAAATAACAACTGGCTTTTCTTACACTCAAGGTGTCAGCATTGAGCCAACAAGCTGTTACGTAGGTGCATATGTTTTCACACCTTCAGAAGTTAGCTCATTTTAATTTAAAAATGGTATTGTTTATGCAAGTGAATGTGATCTGAAAGCAAAATTAAAGAACTCAAAATTGTCTCTTTTCAGACAACAATTAACTGCATTAGAGTGCAGCTTTTTTTTTTAATTTTGTAGTGTTGCATTTGGTAAACCTGCAGCAAAGGTAAACCAGATGAAATGTAAAGATTGCCTTCTACAAGGTGTGTTATATACTTGTGCTTACATCATAACTGTGCAAGAGTTTTGTTGTCCTTTCTGGTCAGTTTTGCATTACTACCGACAGCCAGCGCATGCAGTAGTTCTCAGGGAAAACTCGCTAATTAGGGAAACCAAACATCTTGAATTTGGAGCAACAGTGTTCATAATTATTTCCCTTGAAATTTGGGTATTGAAGGGCAATAATGAATATTGAATAGTGGCTCAAAATCATCAAAGAATATGTCATATTTCATATTTTTAACTGGATAAGGATTTGTCACAAAATACGTAATGAATAGCAACTCAAAGATTGCATTTGAATACTGGTGCAGAAATCAGCTTGCAATAGTAAAACGATATAAATTGTGGTTAAAATATTCTGCTACAACCAGCGATTGAAATAACAGGTTTCTTTGCCAAAGCAGTCCCTAATCAGGATTAACACTTTACTTTTTAAACATTTCTAACCACAAGTAACAGTTAGGTAGGTATCTTGGAAAACCACAACTGACCACAGTAACTTTGACTGGGTTTAGACTCAGGTTTCCAGGGCAACCGTGCACCCCTTAGATAAAATTAATCTGGCGAAATAAAGAAAGGCTCATATTATTTTACAAAAGATGCCACAGAACCAGATCATTAGATGCTTGGTATCTATAGAAGTCAAATAAACAAAGTCGAAGCTCCGAAGCATCAAAATAGATTGAAAGACAACACAAATTTGTGCGAGACATCAAAACTACTTTACCGTGCTCGATTAAACTACTGAGATTCGAAAACGATTCTTTAAACCCCTATCAAAGACTTGTTTTTTTTTTTTAAGTAGCCGAGTGATGAAATAAATAAAACGAAAACAAACTGGTAGTCTTGAAAACTTCGAACTCGTTGACAAATACATTTGTTAGAAACCGCAGAATGTGATCAAATGTAAAGATATAGCCAGCGAAACAGCGTCGACTTATACTTAAATTTTGTTGTACTATAAAGTTTATAACCAACTCGACGAATTTTCTGCGGAGAAGTAATTAAAGGATGTCGATTCTTCGTATGCAAAAGGAGAAATGGAGCGTAAAATCCACACAGCAAGTAAAACAATAGCGTAAGATTATTGCTATACATAACCTTCTGGATAACAGTCTGTTTCCGCGGTTGAGTAAAGCTTGCAACGAGAAAACCGCTTAACGAAAGCTCGTAAACGGAAGGCAAAGGCGACATGTGTTATTTAAGCGATCGATGTTTTCAGAAATTATGGGCTTAAAACGGCTTTGTCATTTCTAATGGATCCTTCAAACGCATTATAATTCATAATTTGAAATTGCATTCATAAACAAGTTCAGGAAGTGTTTCGTTGATTCATAAGTGTAAACTGTTTTACAATTTATTCTTAAAAGGACAAGAATTATTTGGGGAAATAACTGGATATTTATTAAATTAACATACGCTGCTCTTAATTCCTCGAAAACTACGTACCTGAATTTGTATTATCGCACCTTGGTGACCTGTAAAGGTTTTTATTGGAGCTCCAGTTAACAGATCCCATGAACGAATTGTACTGTCCGCCGAACCTGTAAATAATGTCTTCCCTTTCCCGTCGACAGCCAGGCATGTTACAGCCCCGGCATGTCCTTTGTAAGTAACAAGGCACTCATTCGAGTTCATTCCCCAGCTTTTCGCTGTGCTATCGGCCGAACCCGAGATAAGAATGTCATCGTTGTTTTCCAAATCGCAAGCTGCTCCGCGACTGGAATCAGACACAAGTAGAAGAGGAGTCACGGACAAGCGATGGCCGCGAAAAGTTCGAAGGCATTCGCCCGTGTCGGCGTGCCAGCACTTTACTGTTTTGTCGTACGAGCTCGAAAATACTAAATCCCCAGAGCAGATGACTCGGTTTACATTCGAGATGTGGCCGAGAAACGTCTTAATGCACGCACCGCTTTCCAAGTTCCACTTTCTAACAGTCTTGTCGGCAGAGCTGGTGAAGATATACCTTTCCGTTACCCACACGCTTGTAATATAACTTTTATGACCCTGTAGTAACCCCACACATTCTTCTGTCTTAGTGTCCCAAAGTCGTCCCGTCGTATCTTCGGAAACAGTGACGACGGTGCTACCATCAGGACTCATACACATTGCGTTTATTCCTTCAGTATGCTCCGTCAAGCTTTTTAAATGATGTGCGTCCTTCTTGTTTTTTCTCTTTGTAGGACACGGTGGCGTTTCACTTTGTTTCTTTGAGATTCCACTTCCCATTATTGTATCGAAGCAGATCGGTTACTATTCTCCTTGTTGATGAACCACGGTAGAGATTAATTCATACTCGGTAGCCATTATGCTGTGCCTACTGGGCCTCCGAACGGAATGAGAAACATTTCGTTCGTGAGGCCATGTCCGTGCACCTGCGGGGGAAGCGATCTGTGTTTCAAATCCCCAGAGATAAAATCCTGACCGTCCGTCCGACCCGCACACTGTCCTAAGCTCGGAAAGCTGCAGAACACGAGTCGCGGTTGGGGAACATGCATTGAAAACTAGACAAACACTGCAACACTGTCGTCTTTGCGATGTTTCCCGAGTTACAGGAATTTGTAATGAGCTTGAAACAATGCAGTTTAATTAGAGGAGTTGCTATAGTGAAAGCTTTGATGTCATTGGCTAGGGCCGAACTTCAAATTAGAATTTTTTCCTGTCGAGGTGTTTAATAGGACATGTTTTTTTGTTTTTCAGGATAATAATATTACTTTTGTCGCAGCGAAGCTAATACTATGATTCGTTTTGCTTGAGCTAAAAGCGAAGAATAATATTTCTTGAATAATATTTATGATGCCAGACACCTTTCTAAAACAGCTTGTGAAAGCGATGGCGGCAAATAGAATGAAAACAGAGATTGAAACAAATTTTCATTCATTAAATGACGTTTTTCGTTTTACTGTTCTTTGGTTTCTGTTTTAATTTCCTTCGAGCAAAAATGACTAGATGTAAAAATTCAAGATGCTTTATGGTTTTAGTCGCGGCAAATTCCGTGAGATGTTATCTATTCAGTGTAGAGTGCACTTAATGTAATCAAAAGACCGCCTACAAGGGATGTTAGGACCGTTTGGAAGTCAAGCTGTTAAAGATTTGTGTCGATCAGTCAATTTGAATAGTCTTTGCTGTTGGACATGAATTCCACACGACTGGAAAGCGTATTAGCAAATAGACGACTCGTCGAAATGATTTCACCATTACCAATTGTAGCATTAGGATGGAAAGAAAATAAATATTACGGGAGCTCTTAGTAAAGGGGGCGAGCAGAATGATCATTTTTCTTTCGTCGAAAAGGTTTTAAGACGGCAACGTCCGCTCAGAACTGAGACAAACGTCTTCAATTTGTCCAGTGAGCTTGTCGTCATGGCGATACCTGGGATCAGTCGGTTGTTTGGAGATACACCTCATGCTTTGACCAAACGAACAAACAAACAAACAAACAAATAAACAAAGAAGGGGTACAAAAGGATACCACACAGGTACATAGGTCTTTTTCTTGTGGGCTGTTCGGTTAATCGCTGGGAGCCTTACAGCCGTAGAGCGTAGCGGTACTGACCAAAACCTGGAATTTACGTTGTCTGATAAAAGTTAGAGACATAGTTCAAGGAAAGTAGCAGTGAAAATTTTAAAATCATCGTGAAAATAAAATTGCCACATGTGTACATGAGTAGTTTTCCAGACTACAAAAAGATAAAACAAAATTCAATTAAAACGAAATTGGGAATGAGCTTTTTCAGTATGTAGTTTAAACTACTCTTCCGCACGTAATAAAGTTCCTATGTGTAGCTTTTGGATGCATTTGTAACTGAACGGTTGTTTGAAGCCGGAATGCCCTCCCTTTTCACAGCCAGTCTTTGGAGAAGCGAAAATTACTTGATGCATTTCTTTGTTTCCATTCACACGTCACGGTGCTTTGTCAGTGTTTGTTTTCATTCAAAGCGCCGCGATCACCTGCTCCATTCGCAGGTAACGTTCCAAGTTAGTGGCATTTATTGCCAGTACTCGATCGAACATGGAATTATTTTGAGCGGACAAGAAGCGGTCAAAAGCCGGCTCCTCTGCCGGTGAACGACGTATTATTGAGACTGAAGTCTCGCGCTTGCTAGATTAGTCAATTTTTTTAACGTTGTCAGTTATTATGCTCTTATTATTTATTTAGGTCTTTCGTTTTCAATTTATGCAGTATTTTAGCAGCGGTTTTATTCTTGCCGAAGTTGTTCATCAGTATATAAGAAATTAAATGATAAAGGAGGAAAAAAATAGGATCTCGAAACTCGTAGATTATTATTGAGTCGTCAGGGTTGTCTTTGTGAGGCAGGAACTATTTCAAAACAATAAAAAAATAGTGACATTTTGGTCTGATCACCAGCTGCCTTTGTTCCCTGGCGTTGTTTAAAACGAGTAAATTACAGGCTTTCAGGAGATCTGCATTTTAAGTGCGATTTTCAGAACAGAAATGAATTAAGACCTACGTGCTACAATGATAGCTCTTTCCACGACGTCATCGCAATTATGTGCCATTACTGACAGAGCACCTGCTTGCACAGTGGTGGGTGGAAATCATCAGTGACTGAGAAATTTCCTCTGAAATGCAAACGAAAAATGACGCGACTCGGTGTGTTTCTGACGTTTGTCCCGTTGCAAAAGGGACAAAGAAAACACTGCATGTTGGCAAGTGGTTGATTACACTGATAATTAAATGCCGTTGAGGACGGGTGTTGAATCACCTTTGCTGGTTGCAACGGTAACCGCGGTCAATATATTTTTCACATTTGGTAAAATTAAGGTAGTGAGGAAGAAACGTGATACAACAGCTTCATTGTCTTTAGACAAAACAAGTCCAAAAGTCGAATGTAACGTGCGATGACAGTAGTCTGATGAGAGTGTATACAGTTTCAACACACGGAAGCACTAATTTCATATGTTTGTTTTTTCTTAGGACTCTGCGATCTTTCTTGTTTCCCGTGCTACAGTTCAATTTTGTTTCACACATGGCTTAAATAATCTATGTTACATTAAATAAATCATAACCACAAAAGTAGTTTCTGGACTGTTTTTGCTTGGAGTTTTAATCACGATATACATTTAATTATTCGGTATTTTGCGCTGAAACATTAGTATACTCAAAGGGTACGAAGTGAAAGGTTCATTCATTCTTGATATAGAGCATCTGCACTTCTCCGTGTTGTCGTAGGCTTGAATATTTTGGGTAAACGTCAGAAGGTATTGGCATAACATTACCTTCTCCCGCCTCTTCCACACACACCCTATTCCGACGTTGTCAAATTGCTTTCAAACTCTGACAATTAGGCTTGAACGATAAGATGTGTAAAATTGGCATCATTCATTAAGAACTGAAAATTGTGTACGAAGTTTTGTCTCTATCTCAATCGTGCGCTCAGCTGAGTAAAGATGCAATTAAAAGTCTTGACAATTCGTATCACGAAACCAGGTTTTCTCCGAACAAGTTCACTTTTTCAGTATCCCATTTCTTTTTTTGTGGTTGAAGTCTAATACATTTACAAACTGTACACTATTCTTCGTTTTTATGCGCAAAAAATAGAATAATAAAAGGTTAAGGTTGTGGATTTACATCAGTTAGCATATGGGAGACTAGCATGCGTGATGTTCCCGGCCAGCCCTAATTCGTATGTGACCTTACCTTGGTGTTGTAGTTCTGTGTTTATAGATTTTGCTTCATACATACAGTATGTAAATTAAGTATACACAATTTTCTTCGATCTTGTGTGCAAAAGATATAATGAGTCTTAAACAGGTAAAGTACGCGCACATGTAGATCACGTCGCTTCAAGGGATTTGCATCATTTGAAGTCATGCATCCAACCCAACACCGTTTTGTTCCCTTACTTTAGTAAAATATTTCAGTCTTTATTGCTTTAGCTATATACAAGTACAATGCTGTATAATATATTTTGATATTTTTTCGTATGATTCTTAAGTTAACTGTTACGTGTGTATGTACATGCACATGACATGCCGCTGTAAGCTTTTTTACGTCAGCTGGCGTCAAGCATCAAGCCTCATTCACTTGTTCCCTTCCCGCCTGTATGTATTTTTGTTTTTATGGCTTTAGTTACTTCCGTGTACAACGCTACACAACATTTTCCGTTTTAATATACCAAAAATAAAGCTACATTTGAGCTACTTCTGTGCGTGAGCAGAAGCCTCTCAATGCAATTTACATTAATTGGCATCATACATCCAAGCTAATTTCGTACATTAAACATCACCAAAAAGGTTTCAAGTGATTAAAAGCTGTTTTAAGTGCCTTTAAATTCATGCATAACATCAGGATTTTCGTCTTAAGGCGAGGGTTTTAGGTAATTTGCGGTAGCAAACATAATGGTACCTTACTGCAACCCCTGGGATGAGGATAATTAAGCAATTCCCATGCGTTTTCTCAATATTTTCGGTTATATTGATTTCTTCAGATGTTTTTGTTTAACGAATTGTGTACTAATTACGAAACGAAAACAAAACCGTCTATTTTAAAAAATTCTGGTAGTCCAGATGGATTATGTGTCTCAGCCTGAGGTTTCTATAATTTTCACTTGTTTCGATGTTTCAAAACCGAGCGGTCCTTTTTTGTATTCAGTTTTCATTTGTTGTCCTAAGCCTATAATGCTTGGACAATGTGTATTTAATTTGTTGTTCGACTTTTTTTCGGCTGTTTGGAAATTACAAATTAGAAATATACCAATCACAAACTTTATCAAAGTGATTCATTAAGCAAGGAAGCGGACTGGCCCGCAGGTAGCACTGGCTAATATAGGCGGGCCAGACAAAAGGAAGAAATAGTATTATTGCATTTAATACGATGAGGACTCTTTCCTTAAAGGCAATCTTGTCTGAAAAACAGTTTAAGTTCTAAAGTATACCTGATAGTTATATTTAACTGAACCTAGGGGTTTAAGTTGATATCTCTGAAGTGGTTCGAATACGAAATGTTAAAATCTCCTGGGCATCGCCATGTTTGTAATTTATGACGTCATTGCGCGGTCAAAGATCTCAATGTGGAGTTTCTCCTTGTAACTGTACCTATTCATCCGGTGTCTGAATTATAAACGATTAGAAAATAGCTCAAAGAAAATACGCTCGCTGATTGGATAAAAATCGTGTTTTCTTTAACCCGATAGAATCACAAAACTAGCACGAGCTGTTGACAGTAATGATCGCGCGAGTGAAGAGAATTTGCATTTTGATGATCAAAGTAAACAAGTTGTTTTCGTTTTTTTCGACACAGTTTTTCTAAAAGAAATAGAGATAAGGTTCTTTGTGTTTCTGTCGAGTTAAAGAAACACTCGTGAAAGTTTAGGACAACTGGAAAAAGCTGTGGAAACACTCGAATGTCGGCTCGTGTTCCCACAGCATTTCTTGTTCTCCCAAACTTCCACTCTTGTTTCTATAACTCGTCAAAAACACGGTACATGTTTTGTATTTCTTAATTAGAGGCACTTTTATATCTCAACGTTGTCTTTTAAAAACGTCCAACCGCGCAATCGAATGACCTCATAATTTCCCATGAAGCTCTGCAAACATAAACATGGCGGCGGGCGGGAAATTTGAAATCCTAAAATAGCAGAAACAAAATGTCCTGCACTCAAAAGAAACAAGGAATTATGGACTTCAAGTCGCTGAATCAATCTAACACAAACACTAACTTGTGATTTGCAACAAAATTGTTTTTAGCCCAGATTCCCTTTAGGCTTGAAGTCTAACTTCTCGCTCCCGGTCATTATAATTAATTAAACTAGTAGTAATCGTAGATTAAAGAGTGCGTTCGAGTTTTGGTGGGCTTGGTATGTTAAAAAAAAAAAAAAAATTCTAGGGAAAGCATTCTGTGCCTGAGCTGTCAGGTAGGCGTGAAATTGGTCTCCCTTCAGTAGGTGCAAAAACAAATGAATTGACCGCAAAGCACGTACATACGAGAGGGTTTGTTCTCGTTTATACAAGTATTGTGTAATATTAGTTACGACCGGTCAGTGAAAAACATGGACTGCAGTTGGGAGGCCGCATTTAGTCCGCAGTCCCCATTTTATACCTGAGTCCTCGCGCATTTTATGCCCAGTCCGTAATGCTTAGTCCGCGTTTTATGCATAAGTCTGTGTTTTATACCCAGTGCGTAGTCCGCAGTCCGCAGTCCGCAGTCCGCAGTCCGCAGTCCGCAGTCCGCAGTCCGCAGTCCGCAGTCCGCAGTCCGCAGTCCGCAGTCCGCAGTCCGCGGTCCGCGGTCCTCGGTCCGCAGTCCGCAGTACGGAGTGCGTGGTTTATACTGACCGTGTAAATCGACACCAACCATGTTTGTTCCGTCGGTATGCAAGACGACGTGCTTTTATTGCCAAAACTAGGACAATTATTTTGTTTACAAACACGACTTTGAATCTCCTACGCCTCGGGGTAACAGCTACAGGGCATTTTCACTTCCGAAACAATGAAACGGAGGACATGTTGGTGCACCAAAGCAACCCTTTGGGAGTTGAACACTTTCGTTGGGTTTACGTTACATAGTTTGCGCACAGAAATCTAGGCCAGCGAAGTGAAACTAATTTCCTCCTTTGATTTATTCAGCAGAAAGCAGCATTGGTTTCGGTTGAAGAGAAGAGGGTACATAACACGCAGCCAAAACTACATCTTTCGGTTCGTACGAAAAGTCGTACACATTTCGTGAAGACATGTCTGCACGGTTTTTAAATGCCATTGACACTGACTTCGAACTTTAAATAAACAACTTATCCGCTACAGTCTTCAATAAGCTGCCTCGAAAAATCGTACACATTTCGTGAAGACATGTCGACAAGGTTTTTAAATGCCGTTAACAATGACTTCGAACTTTAAATAAACAACTTCAGTATCCGCTACAGTCCACAATAAGCTTCCTCGACACTCGAAAGTCCGCAATATTGCGCAACACTCGACTCGAAAGAAAGCACATGGACAAACATGGATATGACGTCATTCGCCCCTGNTTTAGCTTTAAAATTTCCCACCCGCCCTCCCTTGGAGAAGGGCTTTTATTTGTTTTTTGCCAATAAACTGGGGTCACTCCTTGTGGTTCGGTTAAGTCTGCGTAGCGACTTCCCCGAAGCTTTGGCATTGCTTGTGTCTTGCCATCTTATATCCTAGCCTTTATCTTGTCCGATCCAGCCTGTGCTGTGCTGGGGAGATAAAAAAAGGCTCTGCCAATACTCTTGTTCTATTCCTACGTTAGTGGGGGAATAAGTGAGGCTTTTTGTTCGTGCACCTATCAGGAAGTCGCGTCAACCTGCCACAGGGCTGTGTCCCCTTCAGTTACGCCATATTGTTGTTTGCTTATTTTGTGGTGTTACCTTTTACCTGGTTGCGTTACATCTACTCTTAGTAGTTTGAATAACGGAGTAGTGACATTAAGCTGACAATAAAAGGGTAACAAAAAAGGAAAAATACAACAAAGTAAAATTGGGAAACAAAGCGCATTGCGAAAACAAAACAAACAAGGACAGGGCAAAGTTAAAAATTACTTCACTTTACACACTACTTTCATTACCTTGCGCACTTGCTTATAATCTCTGAAAATTATTGTCTGAAAATTACAAGGTGATAGTATCAGCTGGAAGGGAGGATTATTTAGCCATAATAAGAAAAAAAAGTGTGTAAACATTCTTTTTGTAATTATTTGTCGTTCAAAAGAAAATAGGCAGCGGAGATCGATTCTGACCTCGTAGCTTGAAACATCTCTGCTCTTGTGAATTGAAGACAAAATTCTCGTACTGACACTTGGAGATTACGCGTATCATTTTCGTTACGAGCCATAACGTATGAAAACTTAACACAATTTGACACTTTTGTTGCTAAACACACTAATAAACAACTACTCTTTCTACAAATGTAGGTACGACATTTTTCTTTCGTTTATGTGTTACAAAGAGTGTGAGTAGACTTAACAACTTAGAATAGTGGCTGGTTTATATGCTGACCACAGTTTGTAATATCTTGAATACACCATTGGTCTGTGGATCCTTGGAGGTTGGGCATGCAACCTTGCATACCGTAAAATCTCGGTTGTAAAGCCACTCATCCGCTCTTTTTTCTGCTAGCTAAAGAAAATACACCGGTTATGACCCCCGCCCCCCTTGATAATTGCACCCCTCCAACCTTTCCTTATTATCTTAACTTAAATACTAACCTCCTCATAGAACATCGTACTTCAAATAGAGACGGCCAATGGCTAAGTTTAAATGCAAAGTACAAATTAAAACATTTTATCAATTTGGCTTTGTTTTAAAACACTACTTCTTATCAGAGTCTTCAAGTCTTCTGGCAGCTTATTTCAAAACGACTTTTCAGTATCAATTGTAACCTCGCCTTTCCTTCCCCCATCCCCTCGGTATAACTCCACTTCCCCTATTTATGTATTTCTGTACTTCCACTCAAGACCTCTTATGAAGTTGTATAAGTCCTATGTTAAGCCGAGATACTAAAGGCTTTTAGAGTTCCAGGTTTAGATCTGGTTACTTTAAGCAAAGAGTTAGTAAACAAAAGACAACAATACAGCTGTTGTTGAACACAATTCAGGTGCACAATGGGTGCATCGAATGTCGGGTTCCCAAAAGCAAGGAGGTACTTGCTTGTGTGATGGATTGCTTGAGTAATGGATCAGATTATTAGATAACACCAAACATCTAGTACCTATCGATCTTTTTAATCGGTCATCGATAGCTTAGCTTGGTTCTTCGATTAGCAGATTATGGAAAGTTGAATAACTTGCACACACCATGGGAAAGCTTGTTGGATTCGGTGTCAAAAGTAAATTAATTACCTGTATTCTGGCGCCCCAATGACAGGGTTAGATCTGACTGCTTTTAGCGAAGAGTTAGTAATCAAGTGACAACAAGACAGCTGTCGTGAAACACGATTCAGGTGCACTATGGGCCAGTGATAGTGAGGTTCTCAAGGAGGTGCCTGAGAGTAAGATTGATTGCTGCTTCGGTGATGGATTGCTTGAGTAATGGATCAGGTTATTAGGTATCTACTGGTTTGTTTTCGGACATCGATAGCTAGGCTTTGGATTAGGAGATTTTGGAAAATTAAGTAATTTGCGCACACCATGGACATGCTCGTTGGATTGATTGCTAAAAGTAAATTAATCACCTGTATTCTGACACCCCAGTGGCAAACAACTTGTGAAGTAGATTTGACTGCCAATGCAAGTTCCTCAAACTTTGATTTGCGCTTGTTAAGTGGTCATGATCGGCCCTCTGTTTGGCGCGGCAAAGGGGAATAAACCAAGCAAAAGTCTTCGCCTGCTGTTCATTCCAGCCAAAAATTTGCATTTGTAAAATGACCTAGTGTAGTAAGTCTTTTGGGACATTCAATAGACCGATATTAATTATAGTTTTAGAAATATTAAACATGCAAAATAGGTTCTAAAATGAACCGTAGGCTGATTGATTTTGTCGCCTGTGCCAAAGAAAACCGCGCCAATATCACAAAAGCTTGCATTCAAAGTATCTTAGTTGACATCGCCTCCTTAAAAGCCTTAAATGTTTCTCTTATTTGCAGTTACTATCCAGTAGCGTGACATTGCTTTGTTTATTGCCGCTTGAGCAAACTAGCCTGTCTCTTCTTCCCTCTGTCTTCCGACAGTCGCCTTGAAGTTGTTCTTAACTGGATGCGCGCGAAGCTGAATGGCTAATCTGTGGAGCGTCGCCAGAGAATGGTTTCGTAAACAAAATCCCCGACGAAATATTACTCCGCGTAAAATCAGTACAGTCTTGGAAATTCTACAGACTCAAGAAGAAGCAAAGGACCACGTCTATTATGACGCTTTAAGACGAATTTCGGCTTCCAAGGTAAGTTGGTTGACATTTTCACATTGCCTGTTCCTGTGGAAATTGCTTCGGGGTCTGTTTTATAATTAAATTAATCTTCGACGTAAGATTTGCTATGCTGCATGATTTGAAAGGTTTTGTCTTTTAAAAGAACATCTCTGCGAGTTTGCTACCGGCATGTTACAGGATAAGTCGGTGTATTCAGTTCTGATCCATTGAAGAACTGAATTTATGAATTAATCAAAACGGAGTCGAATTTTGGCACCGACCCATCTACAGATGTACGTGGGTAACTGACTGTCGTTTGCACCGACTGGTACACTTTATAGGCAACAACCACCAGTACTCTAGCGTAACAACATTTAGTTTTCTCACTTGCGTCATACGTCAGCGTGCTGGTGATGTAGAGAGCAAATAATTATTTAGAGCGACCTACATTTGTGAAGTATTTATAGGTTTCTTTTCGTAGAATTTCCAACCTAGGGAATTTAATCGCTCACTTCGAAACGTTTTCCGGCTTAAAAAATAATTGTAGTAGTCACCGCGCAAGAGTTACCTTATTGCTCACCGGCCTTAATAATTATAGCGATGCCTTTGTACGCAGAACGTTTCTTACGCTTGTATTAAATTAACCGGATTGAAATTTCAAAGAGCGATAATTCCTGAAATCAGCTAATTTTCTGTGTGAGAGATGCTTTGCTTAACTTAAGTTTTTTTGCCAAGAATGTAAAGAAAAAGAATCGTGTTCTTGAATAATTTTACTGAAATGTCAAAGCCTTGTCGGCATAATCCTTTTTCAACCGTTGTTTGTTTAATCAGAAGACAATCATTTGCGATAAAGGTCATTTGCAGTAAATGGTAAATTTTGTTAAAAACGTAACTTTACAGCGCGTGTGCAGTAATTATTTTTGCTAGGATACCATTCCTTCTTTAGCTTTTACTGTGTGCGTTTGTAATATGTCATAGCATGATTAAAATTTCTCAAATAGGAAAATAGATTTTTCCTTCATGACAGGTTTCAAATTAGCGGTCATTTGTTAATGTGCGGTGTTGACTTAAAAACGCATGCAAAATTGGATTTTGTGTCCAAATTGGGCACGGTGAAATGAGTGTGTTAATGAAAATTCGGCAAATGGGCTGTCAGTGAGCTAATAACATTATCACTTTGGTTTCTTCCTCGATACTTTTATGTTGGAATGCGACGGAACAAACATTCATATGTCCCAACTGCTTGTTCACGCGAGCTTTAATGCAGCTTTCCCACATTTTTAAACACTCAAAAGATTAACCATTCGGCTATACTGCCACATCAGTGGCCGGACAAACCAGACAAAAATATCCCCCGTCTGTTACAAGACAATAACGCAACTGATGTTAAGTGTCTTGGGTGTGAATTCTTTAGTTGCCTCGCAAACCAACGCCAGGTATCTTCAACAACCTTACTTGAAGGATCCAGTTTGCGCCTGTTACATAAAGTGTTGGGTAGGATTTGGCCTAAGGTTCGGCGTTTCTTTCGCGTGGTAATTTGAAGGGCAATGAGCATAAATTCATGACGACATCCCTATATACACCCCAACGGTCCGAATTATTTATGACGTTTTGTATTTTGTTTTCTTTCCGGTGTTCCTCAAGGATGAAAAAACCGCGTAAGTAGAGCTACATTTTTTTAATTACAAACGGTCTCTACCATTCCTTTGTCCATGGTCGAATGTTAATCAAAAAAGCAATTGGGAAGGGCAGTTTTTGCACGATTTTACTTTGATTCTTGTGGTTCTCGTGGTTCTTAAAAAGGGGGAGCTTGGGCTGAGAAGGTGGACCCATCTTCCTAATCAGGGGTGGGGGTCCTTTGAGTAATAGGATCTACCTAGTGCATGGGAGGTGCGGTGCCTAATTTGTTGCATTAGACTCTCGCCTCGTAGGGGTTAGGAGGTTTGCACCAGCCTTGATAGATTTCAGCGTCACCCAAAGGAATTTTTTTCAACTTACCAAAGTCGAGTAGCATTCATAGTCTTGATTGGATCCAACACCTCTTACTTTATTCCCTCATAATGTTTGTGTTTGGCTGAGAGAACAACTCAGTGTCCCTTTGCTGGGATAACGCATAGTAAAGAGAATTTACTTTCCTTTTGAATTTAGAAATGGTTGCGCTAAGTCCAGCTCGCTACAAAACATCGCGGAAGAAGACAAAGTGTCGTCACCGCATTCAAGTCGAAGGTCCATTATAAAATACATCGGGTCTGTTGGAGAACCCATCAAGAAGGTTTGTGATCCTTTGGTTGATAATTTTCCTTTAAGGCTTTAAAAACATATATTCTGGCTTACGTGGTTGGTTACTTTCATAAGAGTGTTATGTAAAGCCTACATTTTATTTCATCGCAGTCCAACAGTGTCTGAAACATAGCTAAAGGATTGATTCGTTACCAGTCGTCTTGACTTTTCATACAACTTCAGAGAGTGCGCGGCATAGGGCTAGGTCGGAGCGTAGGGTGAGATGGGTATGGAGAAAGCCAGAGAGAGAGACCTTGTCCTCTTTCCCCTTCGCATCACCTCTTGCTCACCGTGCGCCTTGCCGCGTGTTCTATGAAGACACGCGGGGACGAGTTAGGGTAAAGGATAACTGTTCACCTCGAGTTATGGCGGTCGTAAAGATAGCGATAGAGTAAAGCTCTATCAAAACCGTTTTCGAATTCACGTCGCCTACGCCAAGCGCGGGAAAATGCACGTGACCAAGACCAGACTGATTAATTTTGGTTTTGCATGTGATTGACTAAGTATTTGGAGAAGACTTTTTAAGCAATCACATAGCTTGTCAAAAGAAAATCAGAGAAATTTCAGGTTTCTTATGATGCTCCATTGAAAACTTCTCAAACCTCCAAGTGGCCGACTTCATAGCTTAGTTAGTAGAAGGTTTATGGTGGTATCGTCATCAAGGTCGTAGGTTTAAATTAGATGAAACTGGAGATTATAGTGGAGAGCTTCTGAGTTTGGGGGCTCCGAAACTGCTAAAATAGCTTCACTCTCTGAGTTACGTTTAGAAGTCTGAGACGGTTTTTGTATGATAAAAAGCTGGAAATAGAAGATTCTTTTCCACTTTACTCGCACGTTTTCGTTGATTGATCACAGTCAATTGCAGTGGGCTGGATCTTTTTCAGAATTAAATACTTTTTCTGCCAAAACAACAACTACTGAAACGCAGAAGTAAAAGTATCATTTAGATATAATTCTTTTGACTCATTATTTCAGGTTTTACGATCTGAAGGACTCGTGTTTGACCCGGAGGATGATATCTACTATTTATGGATGGTAATATTTATGAATGTTTTTCTCACGGTGAACTTGTCTTGATTTTCAACATGAACTGTCACCTCTATGAAGTCTTTGCCTCCGTCCACACTACGCCGGAGAAATTTGAAAACGTAACTTTGCTCCTACGGCTAAGCCTACCGTCTACACTATTCGTCACGANGTTTAGAAGTCTGAGACGGTTTTTGTATGATAAAAAGCTGGAAATAGAAGATTCTTTTCCACTTTACTCGGACGTTTTCGTTGATTGATCACAGTCAATTGCAGTGGGCTGGATCTTTTTCAGAATTAAATACTTTTCTGCCAAAACAACAACTACTAAAACGCAGAAGTAAAAGTACCATTTAGATATAATTCTTTTGACTCATTATTTCAGGTTTTACGATCTGAAAGACTTGTGTTTGACCCGGAGGATGATATCTACTATTTATGGATGGTAATATTTATGGATGTTTTTTCTCACGGTGAACTTGTCTTGTTTTTCAACATGAACTGTCACCTCTATGAAGTCTTTGCCTCCGTCCACACTACGCCGGAGAAATTTGAAAACGTAACTTTGCTCCTACGGCTAAGCCTACCGTCTACACTATTCGTCACGAAAACGGAGATTTTCGAAAACGCTCTTCAAACCGGAGGAATTTGAAAACTCCAGCCTTGCATTTTAGTGTGGACGGAATGCACTCATTTTGAAAACAGAGCTTTTCGAAACCTATGGGGCACGATAATCATGTGATTTCCCTGACTGGGCTTTCCTCAAGCACAAATCCTAAATGACCGGTGATTGTTGCTTTTTTAAATTCCTCCGGCGTAATGTGGGCGGAAAACATTTGATATATTTTCCGCGTGAAACCTCCGTTTTGAAATTCCTTTGGATTAGTGTGGAGGGGGCCTTTATTATCTATCACCCGCACATAATAGAAATCCTGCGATCGATATTCTTACTTTACCATATCTGCAACAAGACTCGTCTGATTCTTACAAAGCACTACTCTGCCACAATTTATCTGGCTTTAATTAACTACGACTCGTTGACAATTTTATTTGTTGAAAAATAAAACAATCATCCTAATCAATTTTGTGACATATCGTTTGATTTTAACCTTTCCGTCGATATGTTTCACTCTTTTGCGGACTAATTGTGACATATTTCTATAACAGTCTGTTGAACATTGAGCTACTTGAACTTAGTATAAAACACTCAAACAGTTATAATAAGATCAGTTTTGTTACGTGCTTGAAACAGCGTAGAAACGACCTATACGTATGGCTTCGTATTTTGCATTTCTTATTTCTGGCCTCTGTTTCTGGCTTCATATGGAGCTTAGCCAATTATAGCTCATAATTTCTAAGGATATTTTTCTCATTTCCAGGGTGTGGTTGCAGCTATAGTCATCTATAACTTTTGGACTGTCATTCTCCGAATCGCTTTCACAGAAATGTCAGAAGAGGTAATTAGTGATAACCAATATTAAGTTTTCCTCAAGTATTTGCTACCCAACGTTTTCCTTAAAGGAGCTCAGTCACGGTATTTTGAGTTATTTTGGCCACGTACAGAATTATCTTTAAATTGAGTAAACCGGAAAGTAATAGTTTACTAAGATAGAAAAACACCAAAGAGATAATAGTAAGCCAAAACGAAAGAAGGATGCATGATTAAGGATGGAGAAGATTGACACGGATTACAGACGACGAACTTGAAAAATTTAGGCTAAACTTTTCAAGATGCGCAAACCGTGATGTAGTTACTGTAAGGTTTCCTCACGCCCTCAGTTATGGTGTCATTTGGTCAGTAGCCTTTTTCTAAAGCTCATGAAATCCATAACCACAGTCTTAAAGAGCGAACAATAGACGTCTTTCATTCACGGATGACGCATCTTGAAAACCTTGACATAACTTTTTCAAGTTCGTCGATTACAAGCCGTCTCAGTCTTAGTCATTCTTTTCCTTTTTGGTTCACTATTACCTGCTTTTTATGTACCTAAATTAACTTTTTAATGTCCTTTCCTTCGTTTTGAAGGCAATTTTGTTAATCTTAAAAGGTAAACTAGAATAATTTTAGAACTTTGGAATANTATGGAGCTTAGCCAATTATAGCTCATAATTTCTAAGGATATTTTTCTCATTTCCAGGGTGTGGTTGCAGCTATAGTCATCTATAACTTTTGGACTGTCATTCTCCGAATCGCTTTCACAGAAATGTCAGAAGAGGTAATTAGTGATAACCAATATTAAGTTTTCCTCAAGTATTTGCTACCCAACGTTTTCCTTAAAGGAGCTCAGTCACGGTATTTTGAGTTATTTTGGCCACGTACAGAATTATCTTTAAATTGAGTAAACCGGAAAGTAATAGTTTACTAAGATAGAAAAACACCAAAGAGATAATAGTAAGCCAAAACGAAAGAAGGATGCATGATTAAGGATGGAGAAGATTGGCACGGATTACAGAGGACGAACTTGAAAAATTTAGGCTAAACTTTTCAAGATGCGCAAACCGTGATGTAGTTTCTTTAAGATTTCCTCACGCCCTCAGTTATGGTGTCATTTGGTCAGTGGCCTTTTACTAAAGCTCATGAAATCCATAACCAAAGTCTTAAAGAGCGAACAATAGACGGATGACGCATCTTGAAAACCTTGACATAACTTTTTCAAGTTCGTCAATTACAAGCTGTCTCAGTCTTAGTCATTCTTTTCCTTTTTTGTTCACTATTACCTGCTTTTTATGTACCTAAATTAACTTTTTAATGTCCTTTCCTTGGTTTTGAAGGCAATTTTGTTAATCTTAAAAGGTAAACTAGAATAATTTTAGAACTTTGGAATAATTATTTTCCTGTGTGAAGTCTCTTTCTAGATATCTGTTCTGGTGGGGAGATGTTTTTGCCGATGGTTTGTATGCCTGTGACATATGCGTGCAACTCAGAACTGCTTACCGGGATGAACACGGAATTATGGTACGTGAAATTTGAGGGGTCTTGCCTTCTCCGTTACCTTTATTTTGTGTTTATTTATTTATGTTTATAATCTGTAGCGAATACCAGGAGTTCGAGAAAGCAGTTGGCTTCCTTGAGCGGGATACTGAAATCATACAGGGGATGAGTACAATTAGTAGCAAACTAATGGGGTTTATTTCAGCAGATGTTTTGCTGTCATACCTTATACTATTTGGATTTTTTTTTCCTCAACTGCCTTTTCGTTGCGCAATTTGTCTCTTCCCCGTCACTTTTATTTGGGATACGGTAGAAATGAGTATGATCCAAGGGTATATGAGAGTATAACCGACTGTCCTAATTTTGTGTTTCTGACTGGAGGGGTTGAGAGGGGCTAATTCCGCGCCATGATCCGAGTAGGATGAGCAGTTATATGGGATGGTGGGATATAGAACTTGGGAACTTCCGACCTCCTTTACCAACCACGCCCTTCTCATGACAGTGAGTGGCAGGTCTATTTTGGTATGGAGCTTTTCTCATCAGATTATTGTTTCATTTAAGATTAAAGATCCTGTGCAGTTGAGAGAGATGTATACAAAAAACAGAAGATTTAAAGTTGATATTATTTGTCTTCTCCCTTTGGAAACACTCTCCAGTCTAACATTTTGTGAGTAGTACAGGATTTATCATTCACAACTGCGTTATTTATGAAGTACTGAATAACTTGAAGATACCAGGTTCTGTCTTAGCTTATTATGATCCGTCGTAATTTGTATTGGTTTTGTTGCATCGTACAACCGTATCAAACTTCTACGTTCATTTCTTCACCGTTTATGATACGAAAAAATCACTACATCGGGAAGCTTACTCGGGAATAGTGTTTTCTGATATGGAGAGGGGACTCATACTTCATCAGGTAGTGTAGCTGGTGATTTAGCCTAAAACTGATACGTTAGAGTTTACATTAAAATGGCTTCGTCTTTTGTTTTTTTTCTCTAGTTCCCTGTCAAATCTCGCTGTTGCGTTTGTCTAGACTTCTAAAATGGCACTCCGTGGAAACGTTTTTCTTTCTGAGTGACTACAGAACCAGCAAACCCAATCGTCTCCGGGCTTTCAAACTCATTCTGTATCTGAGCGTAGCCATGCATTGGGTCGCTTGCCTGTATTATACCATCTCTGAGTATGAAGGACTGGGAACTAATGATTGGGTGTACACCGAAACTGAGAAAGGAGGGGATCGCTTTGTAAGGTCAGTGTTGAATAAGGATTTATATCAATAGCTCTTACTTACCTCTTACTAGGTACGTTCTGTAAGTCACAGACCGAGGCTTTTTCCCTTCGGTTAATGGCTCAAGCGCAAAGATCTTGGGCCATAAATTGAAGGGGACAACGAGGATCCGTAACTTGCGGCACGTACCGAGAAGACGAGGTTGGTAAGATATTAATTATATTTCTACTGTTTGTTTTGACGGATTCAGGAAACGATTTGAGTCACGCCAAACGGCTTCACAAGTGAGCGACGCTAGTCTAAAGAAAACGAGTTAATTTGAAATCGTTGCTAAGTGAGGTCTTAAGTCGTTAGCACGTTTTAATATGCAATTGAAAGAAAAAGATAGTGTTGTTTGCCATGAAAGTTAACAACAGTCGTCGAAATGTGAGTCATTCAGAGAACCTTTTCTATTTGATTTTCCATTAAGCCTTCCCCTTACATAGTAAAGCTACACCGTGAGATAAGCTGTTCATGGATTTATATGATCTACGGATGCTGATGAAATAAAAACTAGTCATTCAAAAGGTCACGTCCATTTTGATGTAAATTCCGTTATATTACTCGTCTTGTGACGATGCTGCCTTGGGAAAAACTAGCCTAAGATTATTCTTCATAACTAACAGAAAGGGAAATGAGGTAAACATGTTTCTTGAACTGAAAATCTTCTGTTATCTTACAGGAAATATGTTAAGTCCTTTTACTGGTCTGTTCTTACCCTGATGACGATTGGTGAAACCCCAAGTCCCCAGACAAACGTAGTAAGTTAATGTAATCTCGGAAACGTACTTTCCGTAAGCACCCTTATAGCCAGTCGTCAAAATCAAGCTGTGTTACATCATCATGTACTTAATCACTCTGGCCTCATCAGTATGAGTCTTAAATTTCCAGAAAGACTGATATGTAGTAGATGTAGTGGCGGTCAACAGACGTCTCCTGCACATATAAATTTTCAACCCTTTGAAACGACCTGATCTCCAATAAACGAAATGTTTTGCGCTTATCTCCGGTATCTATAGAATTAAGTGACCCTACTACCACTATACTGCTGGTTGGAATGCTAATCTATCACAGGTTAACCATTCCTTACCACCCTCGTAGGTATTTTTCCCTTTTGCCTCAACAGTAGTCGCTGGCGCCCTAAGGTCTCACAAGTAAGAACACAGCATAAGGGCACTGACTCCGCTTGAAGTCTCGACCTTCCAAACTCTTATCCAGCCCACTAATCATTAGACCACTGCCCCTCCACGCACGTGCGTGTCGACTTAGCAAATTTCTTTTCTCTCACCTGTACAGGAATATATCTTCACTGGCTGTATGTTTCTTCTTGGAATATTCGTGTTTGCTACCGTTGTAGGCAACGTTGGTGACGTCATCAGCAACATGAATGCTGCGAGAACTAATTTTCAGGCGAGGTTGGAAATTCAATATTTTGCATAGCAGATTACACGTATTATTCATATTAATTGTTTTGTCTTTAGATATCAAATTTTCATTGCTCATGCAGAGCTCTCTTGTTTTGATTAATTTTATATGTGAAGATAATACTGTAAACTTTCGAAAGTAACGAGTCGACCCCCCGAAAGTAACGTCCAAAAATTGTGGCTGCTAATAAATCCCGAAAGTAGCGAGCCCACCCAAACCTCTTCTCTCTCCACGAAAATAGTATATATATTTTTCCAGTCAATAGTCAAGTGAAAGCTAGGTACCGCGACTTGATTTAAGGCAATATACAACAAGGGAAGGTATCGCGTATGCCGCGAAGCGCTATGAAATGTCAGTTTGCTTTACCAGTTAATGTTGTGCCGTGTTAAACAAAACCCGTAGAATGTTCTTCAAGTAATCGGAACGCACTATAGGAAACTTTGATTCAACTTAATATCATTTTCAACATAAGCGTATTAGAAGGAACGTTTCTTCAAATTTAAATTTAAAACTCGACCAGCCCACTAAGATATTGTTACAGCAAACCAACGTAGCAGTGCGTCATGAAGTAGCTAGAAACAGTTTACGGTATCTGGCAAGCTTTCCTGCCGACCACTGACAACACCAACTAGACATGAAGAGTCCACATATATGTCGGCAAAACAGATTTGAATTGGAACGAAGTATTGTATCTCATGTTTTATGAACTGTTTTCACTAATTTCCGGTTTTTTACCTCGTAAAAAGAGCCCAGTCGCACCAACTTTATATATCGTTTTTTGTTGCCCGAAAGTAATTACCCTCGAAAGTAACGAACCCCAAAGCCTGCTATATCCGAAAGTAATTAAGGGCGCTACTTTCGGGAGTTAACTGTAAATGAATTGCATTCTGCAGAGGAAAGAGGCTACTTTTTGTATTGATCAAACTTTCTCTCCCTTTTGTCATTACGAGTTTAATGAATGAAGGTATATGCCAATTTTTCCTTTTCGAGAAACCCACTCAAACCCTAACTTAATGGTACACTCGTCGCTTCAAATTTCAGGGAATAGCCATAAAGGCCTCGTCCACTCTACGCTTGAGAAATTTGAAAACGGAGGTTTCACTTTGAAAACGCATTAGATGTTTTCCGTCCACACTATATATGCCTTGGGAATTTAAGAACGCAACATCACCGGTCATTTTAGATTTGTGTTTGAGGAACACTCGGTCAGGGAAATCACGTGATTATCGTGACGCCATGGTTTTCAAAAGGCTCCGTTTTCAAAATGTTTGCCGTCCACACGAAAACGAAAAACTGAAGTACTCAAATTCCTTTGGTTGGAAGAGCGTTTTGGAAAAGCTCCGTTCTCGTGACGGATTGGTGTGGACGGTAGGCCTAACCATAGAAATAAAGCTGCGTTTTCAAATTTCTCCGGTGTAGTGTGGACGCTGCCTAAATGACACGCTTTTTTAATTGTAGAATGGATTCAATCAAGCAATTTATGGAGCATCACAACGTACCACATGCGCTGCAGACTCGAGTCAAAAGATGGGCTCACTACGCGTGGAGCAGGTTTGTCACGTGTGCTAGAGATGTTTAACCAAGTCTACGAAAAGATGACATTCGATAAGCACTCAATCAAATGCCGTGCTCCTAGTTTGCCGTGTAAGAATAAGAATATTGATGAAATAGCAGACACTATTTATTTGCAAAATAATGCCACCCTTCAAAACAGTGCTATATCTTAGCTTTCATTTGAATAATAAGACATTAAGGCTTTATACAGACTTGAAGTTTGTGCAGCTCAATAAACATTACCCACGTGAATGTACTGCTCAGTAGATATTATTTGAATGGTCACACTAATAAGGTTTTATCCGAAACTTTGAAGTTAGATTAACATTGCGAAAAAAAAAAAAAGAGAAAAAGAAACACTGCTCACTGGCTTTCATTCAGCAGTCACACTCTAGTATTTCGAACAACATGAAAAAGTTAGAAAACATGATATAATCGACATGTGGTTTTGACTCTTTCGGAATTAGTGACTTAAATACAAAACTGCTTCCAAAGAAACATCAACACCGGTCATTAAAAGAAGCCGAATGTAGAGTGTTTGGAGTTCGTGGGCTCCTGAAAATTTGTTGGTTTCTGACTGATCTCTGGAAATACTTGAGGATTTTGTCATTTTGTTTGAGAAGTGAGTATCCTTTCATGTTGATGCTGTTTATCAGAACACAAGCTTTGGAGGAAGGAACATCTTTGGAAATGTTACCTGAGAGGCTAAGGACTGAAATCGCCATTCATGTGCATCTGGACACCTTACGAAAAGTATGTTTTTCAATGTGGCTGTTGATATTTTCAAGTAACAGCTATTTGCACAGTATGCAACCAATAAAGACGGAGGCAAGTGATGAAGTTTCAAATAATGTGAATAGGTGGTAAAACGAAGTTCCTTGGATAAATATGGGAAGATATTAGAGTGAAGAAAGCATGTACTACAATGACCATGAGTAGAGACAAAGTTTTCCGAGAAAATGGTCTCCGTTGTCACCGTAGTTTTTGTACTATGCTCGGAAGGAGAATGAAGATGAATGTGGAAATTAATACCCTTTAAAAGTGCTATCTCTGATGTACTTTTTACATTTGTAAATTCTCTTTAAACGTAAATCAAATTTGTTCTTTTATACATGTATAACGTCGTGTTTAAGCCTTTCTTCTCAGGTTGCGTCCACACGACGCCGAAGGAATTTGGAAACGGAGGTTTCACTCTGAAGACGCATCAAATGTTTTCCGTCCACGCTACGCCGAAGAAATTTGAAAACGCGTGTAACAATCACCGGTCACTTTGAATTGGTGTTTGAGGAAAACTCGGGTAGGGAAATATCATACTTAAGGTAGCCTCGTCGTTTGCGAGAAGCTTTGTTTTCTGTCCGCGCTAAAACGCAAAGCCGGCGTTTTCAAATTCCTCCAGTTTGGAGAGCGTTTTCGAAAAACTCCGTTTTCTCGACGGATTAGTGTGTAGGGAAGACCCAACCGGAGAAATAAAGCTCCGTTTTCAAATTCCACCGGCGTGGTGTGGACTCGGTGTTAATGAATACAAAGAACCGTAACTAATTTTTATGTGACCAGTCTGGTTTGGCGATTCCTATATAACGTTCCAGCTTCAGTTTTTTAAGTGTCAACAGTCCTCTACATTCTGAAGGTATAATAAATTTTATCAGCTCTTTTTGTCTCTGTACTAACAGGTCAAGATTTTCAAGGACTGTGAACAAGGGCTGCTATGTGAATTGGTTCTTAAGCTTCGACCACAAATATTTTCACCAGGGGACTATATCTGCCGCTGTGGAGAAATAGGTAAAGAGACACTAGAACATTTCTTCAGTGTGTTTTAATATCAAGCGTTAGTGTTAACCAGTCCCGCTGGAAAATCATCTTGGACGGAATTACGTTTCTTATTATCAAATCAAAATAAAATTTGAGCAGTCGGTAGCATCTCGAGCGTTTCTTCCGTCATAAGGACACGTCACATGGTGCCTCTCATTAACTGCTTTCGCTCGTAAGCCGAGGAGACCGCTACGTGATCATTGACAAGCAATGATGTAAAATACTGTGGCAATTTTTCTCACCTAAAAACCTTCTGTTGCCTTGGCAAACTGATTTATTTTTCCTTCTGCCTTTTAACAAGTTTCACAATTACATGATAAAGGGCTTAAGATTTTTTTAAAGCGCATTTTGAAGGCGGGATCAGCCATAAGTGAGACACTTAATCTAATCATTGTGTTCCGCAGTTTAATGCTGTTCTTAGGATTAACAGTGTTCTTAATCATGGTGTATTCTTAACCTTAACTCGTGTTTCGTTTTCTTAGGGCGAGAGATGTACATCATCAACAATGGTAAAGTCGAGGTAAGATGTGAAAAGATTTTATCATCTTTCTGACCCTGTGCATGAGCATGCTCCCTAACGAGAATTTGACAAAATACAAAGGTGGTCTTACTAACTAACGGAAAGTAAAATAGTATGTTATATTTTAGTGTAAATTCACTGCAATACCGTACTTTTAACGTTTCTCTGTATGGTCAAGTGATATTAATACTCTCCCCCGTAGATCTTAATTTTAATGTCACTACCATCTGGGATTTTCAGGTGGTAATAGCAGACTCGAACACTGGAGAAGAAGTTGTAGTAGCTTCTCTTTCAGAAGGAAACTATTTTGGAGAAATCAGCTTGCTTAGACTTGATGAAGGCAAAAACAGGTTAGAATAAACTGAAAAAAAATAAATAAATAAATAACGGCGTGGTAACGTGTACATGCTATGCAAGTATTCACTAACGTTTTAAATCACCCTGAACTGTTGCGTTTGTTTGATTCAGGCGCTCTGCTGATGTAAGGTCGGTGGGATACTCAGAATTGTTGTGTTTGTCTCAAAAGGACTTGATGGAGGTAAGATTCTAGCGTTATTTTTGTGAGAGAAAAAGCTTTATTACTCGGGCTTCCGTAGGAAAGCCCGAGTTATAAAATCCAAGCGTTTTGGTCGCCAAAAAGGGGGTCATGGTCCCAGGCGTTCCATGCGTATACCGTGGAAACTGGGGACGAGAAACGCGACATTACTCGCTCTTCGTGACAGAATGCGGTGTTTTGCGAAGAACGTTTCGGCAAGAATCGTGCCTTATACGTTCATCTCACATACAAAGATGTCGATCGTTTTCGGAAAGGGTCGGTCCACGAATTATATTGCTTGAAAGCCAGCCAGGTAAGCAAAGTTCACGCTCGAAATATTCTCGTGAGATAACAACTGAGCTGATCGCGGTATGAGTTCAAACTACGAAAACACTGACAAAAAACAGTCAGTCAATGACGGTATGTGGCTACTGCTGTTATTATTTAGAACACTGCAGTAAAACAAATCATATTGCAATAAAACGAGTTAAATACGAAAACGTTTTTGGACTGGTAGCTCATTAAAAACATGCGACTTGTTTCTTGCACCGCGCAA